AATATCTCTGAAGATATAGCGAAAATGGCCTCTGTGATCCTTCTCCCAGAAATCAAAGTACTTCATATCTATGTAAAAGTCAAAGGAGTGCGTTAATTTACATGTTACAGTGATAATTTTTCTGCTACAGTTTTGTCGTAATACACTGCGTGTATCGCTTCAGCTTTTATTCCACCGTATATGATTTAAATTAAAATTCTAAAAACAATAAATTTTAAAAGATTTAATTCAATTTAGCACCGTGTATATATTTTGTTGATACAATTTTGTATCTTTTTTGCGACGTTAGCAAAAAAACATTGCTAGTCACAACATTTTTGAATTTTTTTTTTTATAAATTGTTTGTTAAATAAATGAAAGAATTAACAGAGTTAAGAGAAATATTTTCAGTTTAAATAGTTCCATTCTCATTTATACGTGCAAGTAAGTAACCGAGATAACAACAAAGAAAAGACAGATAGCTAAGTAATTTTATATATATCTATTAATATTTCTATTATTGATAAAAATATCTTGTCACTTAGGTTAATCATGATCTGTCGTGTACGTATTGTATAAAGTATAAAATTTCAAAAAAAGTCATTAGAAAAATAATCTTGAGAAGAAAATGATTAAGAAATTATCATTTGAAATAATCGCGAACACAGAAGTTAAGTTATAATTTGTAGTGGTTATGTAATAAGTGATGGTTAGCTAATGATTAGATAATGATATTATACACACATACATATAGAAATAGATAAATAAAACAGTCAACAGTATTTTACGCAGCAGTATTCAGCAGATGAATCAATTCTATAATTGTTAATCAAAGCAATTTGTTTCGATTGCTACACAATACAAGATGATTCATAACTTGTGGTACAATCGAGTACAGGGTAATTCTACAATAAGAGAAAAAATAAGTAAAAGAAAAAAATTTTTTTGTCGGACGCTTTGTTTTCGAAAAGATCAACTCTAATATTTTATCTAGCACAATGTATATTTAAGTAAGAATTGTAGTAAATTAATATTACTGACAATGCTCAGTGTTTGCAAATATTTCCAATATCACGGAAATGCGTTGAAATTGCGTTGAAATTTGATTACTTTGAAAATATTGTTGGAAATATACTCACATATACACAATCGTGCTTTTTTTATTAAGTTGCTGTGAACATTGTGCAACAACGTATTCTGCTTTTAATCGAACACTGCCTGTAATTTCATAAATAATTTGACGCGACGTTACAAATAAAAATGCCAGAT